CCCCCCCCCCCCCGCCCCCGTGCCTCTGGCTCTGCGCCTGGCTCCCTCGGGTCCGCTCCCCTTTCCCGCCGGCCTGGCCCGGCGTCACGCTCCCGGAGTCTCCCCGTTCGGCGTCTCGTTGCGGGAGGGGGTCAGATCACCCCGCCGGGCGGTGGCGCTGGGGGGCAGCGGAGGGGGAGGGGCCTTAGTCGTTCGCCCGCGCCGCCCGCCCGCCTGCCGAGCGCGCTCACCGCCGCTCTCCCTCCTTGCTCTGCAGCCGCGGCCCATGGAGCCCGCCGGCCCGGCCCCTGGCCGCCTAGGGCCGCTGCTGCTCTGCCTGCTGATCTCCGCGTCCTGTTTCTGGGCAGGTAAGCACCCTCAGCTCCCACTGCCACCCTTCCCGAGCTGCGGGCTCAGGCCCCGCACGCTGCCGCTCAGCTAATGTCGACAGGCGCCTGTAACCGGGGTTACAGATGCAGATTTGAGGCCCAGAGAGGGTCAGCCACTTGCCCAAGGTCACATAGCCCAGGCTAGAAGCCAGGATAGAACTCTTCTTAAATGGGTCTGCCCTGTGGACTTGACTGCGTAGCCCTGCTCTGGGCAGCAGGGTATAGGAATGAGTTGTTTTACCGTACCCCTAGCCCAACCTGAACGGGGAGGCAGGCTGGCATTTGCTTTTGGCAGTAGGGCGCCTGGCTTCCCCAGGAGCTCCCTTGCTAGACTTGATTGGAGAGAGGGTAGGGGCAGAGGTCCTCGAGCGCTGGTGGGCTGTTGGGATGAGGGAAGAGTCAGCTCTTCCCCTCTTACCGGAGCAAGCACTGTTAGCCTATGGAGGTGTGGGAGACAGAGGGAGGTCTGAGCAATCGCGGCCCCTTGGGAGACACGATGGATTTACCTGTGTGGTAGCACAGCCTCTGTCTAGATGGTCTCCTCCCTGCTACCCTCCTGCCTTCCTTAGGCAGAATTCCAGAAGCTCCCTGCAGTTCCAGCATGTACCTGTGGCTCTGAGCTTGTCTTCTTTGTTGGCCTACATCAAACACCTGGCTGTCTCCAGCAGGAGGGCTCTGAAGGCCGGTTGGCCAAGGAGTGAGGTCACCATTCAGGAGTCCTGCATCTTAAAGGGGTTCTGCAAAATTCCCGGGTCTCTCCTGGAAGGATATGAAGGCCAGAGGCATGGCCGGGGAGGGAGAGAAGGGAGCCTTATTTAGTGTCTTGGATCGGTGTTATGGGCATAGGGTCTCTGTACCACCTTCTTTTTGCAGGGAGGTAAAATATGGTCTCAGCGCCCCCACTTCACCAAAATTTGCATGGAGCCTGACATCTGATAGCAGTGCAGAAGAGGGCAGAGAGATCCAGCCCCACAGAGAGGGAACAAGCAGGGTGGGGCGGCCAGAAGCTCTCTCCGTGGCCTGCAGGTTCCCCTGAATCCCAGGAACCCACCACGTGCCCCCCCCCATCATAGTTTTCAGTTACTGTTGGGTCCTTTCAGGGCCAAATTAGGAGTCTCCCTCTCTCCTATGAGTGGCTCTGGGGTCTGAGCTGCTTCCCCCTGCCTTGCTAAAGTTCCAGCCCTACCCTGCCAACCTCCAGGGCTTGGGAATCCACAGGCATTTCTCCAAGGTACAGAAATCTGGGCCCGGATTAATTTCTAAATGCTTGCTCTCCATCACTTTCTGACTTAGGCCCCTATGGTTCAGTCACTGGCAAACGAGTGGTTAACAAGTGCTCAAACCAGCAGTCCGCCTTTCCTGTGCACCGGCTGCAGGGGTTGGGAGGGTGGGAACGACAGCACCATTCTTAAGAGAATATCTATCCCCCCTTCCCCATCCTCACCTATAAAAACAGTCTATAAAATGCATTGGACCTTCCGTTCCAATCCATTCAGCATCAATAACCTGAAAAAGTGGAAGCAGTGGAGGGACAAAGATTAACTTCATAGTAAGTCTTGGGAGGGGAGAATGAGATTCTCCAAGAGGAAGGGATGCTGTATGGCCTTTGAACTCCTGCCTCCCAGCAACTGCACTTAGTCCCCTGGGGCTCAGCATCAAATCCCTGTCTCTGTCACAGGAGGGGACTTTATCCCCCTCCCCCCCCTTGCTGGACTCAGCCTCCCTTGTTTGGGGCATGGGATTTACAGCAAAGCAGAAGAGATAGGATAGAAGGACAGACAGGTAGAAGACAGTTGTCCAGTTTTCTAGGAAAATGGATTTGTCTGAGCAAGAACCCCAAATGTCAGCTTAGAGAAGACAGCTTTGGATTGTCCCTGGCAGAGCTGTCATTCTGGGAGGTGTCATGTGATTGCCGGGCTTCACAAGATCACCGCTTGGGTGAAGGGAGATGGTCATGTGCATTATTGCCTCCGGGAGGCAGGCGAGGAAGTTTCTAAAGATTGCACTCGACACAAATGATGCCAAAAGAAGATTCTAAAAAGATTCTGATGAAGTCACCACTGTGGGTTCTTGCTGCCCGTGTTTAGGGGCTGACCCTGCCATGAACGAACCTGAATGAACAAACGAGTGAACGAGATGCGGCAGGCCTCACAATCAACTAGAGGATGCTTTCCTGGTCCTGGCTGGGCCTGTCCTTAGATGGACTCTTTGCTCTAGTAGGGGCGGCTGGCTGGGGGAAGTTGAGGTTCCGGCTTAGTGAGAAAGTGGGCCCCTCCAGTGAGCCTGTGACTCTTGGGTGGATGGTAGCATGCTGGGGGTGCCTCTGTGCTTTCCTAAGCACTATAGTTGGTCTCACTTCCTCTTTTCATAGGAAAAAAGGGGTGGGATAGGGGCTAGCTGCTGTGTCTGACATCAGAGGCTTTTGGAAGGTTCATTAAAGGCTCGGTGTTCTCTGGGTACTCTGTGGCCAGTAATTATCCCTGTCCCTGTCCTATGGGTACATATTTAGGCTGTTTTGTTTTGTTTTGTTTTGTTTTTTTCCTCACAGTCATTTAGTCCATAAGAAGTCCTGATTCAAACTTTGTGTTGAGGGAGGGAGAAGAACCCATGCTTATTAAGGAGCTAACTGCATTCCAGGCCTGGTGCATTGTCTGCACAATCTCATTTACCAGCAGTGTGCCATTTGGCTCTTACTAGTGATGCACAGATGAGGAAAACTGAGTCTAAAACTTGTCCCAGGAGTAAATGGCAAAGGAGCCAGAATTCTGGATACAGCTTCTGGTGGGAGGAATAAATGACTTACGAGTATGCAGTCCACACTATTGGGGTAGAATTGCCACCTGAGGCTTAGCTGGAGAATTGTGGGAAGGCTCCCATAGGCAAAAGCTTTGGTCTGGTCTCCACGAAGCCCACTGCGTATGGAACTGGCAGCCTCTTGGCTTCAAAGATGACAATTCACGGGGAGCGATGTGGCTTGAACAAGAGGCCCCATCTGGGCTGGTGAGCTCTGGATTCCCTCACACTGGAATGTTCCTCCCTGCGTCTTGCCCTTTGCAACAGATGGAGAACAGTGGGCGAAAGGAAGGGAGTCTGAAAGTGCTGAGTGGATCCCACACGCACCACCTCGCTCCTTGTGGTGCCTGCCTGTGACAGGTTATTTCTTGTCACCATGGGCTGATGGATGGGGACCCTCTTTAACTGTGTTCAGACTCCTGGCTGTGGACACAGCTCGGACCATGTCACCATAGTGATCCCTTGGACACAGCAGGGCCTGTGTGTCCCCCTCAGTTCCTACGTGTTTTCCAACAGGGATGCGTGTTCATATGCTCTGAGGTAACAGGGCTGCCTCACTGCAGACTGAAGCCTGGTTGGCCACTCATACACACCCAGAAGACCAGGGGAATCCTCTGTGGTAGACCACCGAGCTGTTCCAGTGTGTTAGGAACAGGAGGCATTTGATTTGTACAGTGTCTGTTAATATGCAACCTAACCCAGTTTGGCTCTTGGAGAGACCCGTGCCCCCAGCTAGCCTCTTATCTCTCTCCTGTTGTTCCTGCTGTTGCCTCAGGAGTGACCTTTCCTGTACTCCCTTGCCCCCCTTTATCCTCGTCCTCATCCTTCCAGGTTCACTTTACATGCCTCCCACTCCGAGGAGCTAAGTCCTCCGACCCTCTCCCATGATCTCCTCTGTTCCTCTCTGAGATTACTCACTACTTCTTCGCTTTGTGACTCTGTGTGCATTGTGTGTTTGCCTCTCCGGTGTGGTTCTGCAGCCTCCCTGACTATTAGCCTCGCCATGTACACACAACAGTGCCAGGACCCCCCTCGGAGTCAGGCCTGGTTCTGCCACCTACCTGAACAATTTGCTGAATTTCTCTGGGTGTCCTTTTTTTTTTTTTTTTTCCTTTCTCCTCTATAAACTGGAGATGTCACTAATAGCTCTTTCTCAAGGAGTAAGTCAATTAATGCAGATTCAGATGATCGTGGGGTATGCCAGCTATCTGTAAGCTATCATGCAATCACTGATTTATGCCTTTTGACTTGTTCGTCCCCGTACCTGTTAGCTATCATGCCGTCATTGTTTTATGCTGTTTGACTTGCTCGTATCTAAAACCGGGATGGACTTCCATAAAGCAATCGATCTAACGTGGATCCTGCGCATAATGGGCACTCAGAAAACAAGGACCGCGGCTAACTAAATGTCAGTATGACTCAGTGAGCTCTTTTTCCCCTCAAGCTTTCTCCTGGGGGATGGACAGGTTGTGAGGAAACCAGCGCTGCGATCTAATTGCCTTGTTAGTGCCAATGAGCTGTGGACCCAACCTGACTCTAGGTGTCTCCCTCTGGACTCGCACGTCTGGAATTGTGGCTTCCCAGCCCTGGAAAGCTGGAGGGGCTTGGGAGCTGCTCCCTGTGCAGTGGGGCAGAGAGCTGAACATGGGTCTCCTGCTCCCAAGTAAGGTCAGGCCAGGCCTGGGAGGGACACATGCAGACGCCTTTTAAATGGGGCTGGACATTTCTACTGTGAAAGCCAGAGTTCTGACAGAATCCGGAATTGTGTGAGAAAATGCTAAAAATAAGCATCCTAATCCTGGCCTCCGTGCTACTGTGTGTGATCCTAGTGGGACTCAGAGCTACCCCGGAGGATGCACCATTGATGATTGATCATCTAACCCACTTGACCACAGAGGGGATGATGGCTCAGCAAGGCATCTGCATCGGATGGCCACCCAGATCAATCAACCTGAGCTTCAAAGCCTGTGCTCCACCATGCTTTAGACATCTTGCTTTGTTTGATGAGTAGGGAGGCTGGAGACCAGGGCTTCTGGCACCATGCTCTCTTGGGACATTTCACATAGCTTTTATCGATCCGTGTATCCTCCAGGAGATGAGGAGAGTGGGGCTTCCGTCCACATGCTGGAGAGGGTGTGCTATGCTGTCTGATGCTGTTTTCCCAGTCACTTGGGCTTCCTGGAACC